TTTAAGATAACTTGTTATGTAAAATTATTTATTTATCTAAGATGCACCTACACTGAATTTATCTGAAAAATAAAAAATCGATATTAAGAAAAAAAATTGTAAATGGAAGATTATAAGAGAGGGTTTCGCGTGCCAGCAAAAGTTACTGGCATGCTATGTTTGGCACGCGTGCCAGGGGTTGCCCACCTGTGCTAAATGTTTTACATACATTATGCTATTTAATCATCATAAATGCCATGTGGAAAGCATTATAACTCCCATTTTACACACAAGAAACATGGTGCTCATGGGGGCTTTAAGTAACTTTCTCGTGGCCTTTTTGCTAGTATCTAGTGGAGGATCTGTAATTCAAATTCAGCCTTGCAGGTAGTGGAGCACAAAGACCTTATCACTTTTCTGTGCTGGCTGCCTCGGCCTCCACTGTGTGTCTGTCTGTCCTGAAGCCTCGCTGTCCCCATTCACTTCAGTTTCTGGCTTACCCTTATATCCAGTTTGAATATCAAATTGAAGAAAGACATATTTGAAGTATAAATAGCCCAGGATAAAGAAGTGGACACAACACACACACACACACACACACACACACACACACACACACACACATCTAGACAATAAATGTGAAGGTTCTTGGTACATTAAGAAGTGAAGTGTAAAATGCAGGAGACCATTCTATTAACTGTGACTAAAACTCTCCCCGCTCATCCTGCCTTCCATATTTCTGTTCTGCCACCCTGGTTACCTCTTCTCCAGCAACCCTCTTTCCTTTGCCTACTCCCCCACTCCATGTAATGAGCCATCCATTGTATCAATTAAACCTCCCCCACATTTCTCCCTCCTTTCCAACTATCCCTGTGGCTCTGCTCTCATTCAGATTGGTATAACTCCTTCTCTGGGAGAAAGGAGGCTTTAGTCTGTCCCTCCTGCAAGCATTCTTCCCTGACTCCACTAGAGGGGTCTTCTGAAAAAAAAAAAACAGTTCTGGCATGCAATGTCCTTGTTAAAAACTCTTATGTGACTTCCCCTTTGACTACAGAATAAAGTGCAAGTTCTTGACTGCCATTGAAATTCCAGCACTTACCTGTCCATCTTCCCACTCCAGCTTTATTTCCCACTAGAGGCCTGGTGCACAAATTCATGCACCGCTGGGGTCCCTCGGCCTGTGGGAATTGGGCCAAACCCGGCTCTCTGACATCCCCAGAGGGGTCCCAGATTATGAGCAGGTGCAGGCCAGGCTGAAGGACCCCACTGGTGCACAATCGGGGCCAGGAAGGGACTGCAGGAGGGCTCCAGGGCATGTCCAGCCCATCTTGCTCAGTCCCTATTGGACGGACCCCAGCAGCAAGCTAACCTACCAGTTGGAGCATCTGCCCCCTGGTGGTCAGTGTGTGTCATAGCGACTGGTCAAATGGTCGAACAGTCGGAGGGATACTTAGCATATTAGGCATATATATATATGAATATGTATTTCCAATAGGGAAAAAGAATATGTATTTCCAATAGGGAAAAAGAAAAGAAATACATAAAAAGTGGACTATTTTAGGCAGAAATTGGAGCCAAGGATGTTGAGCCCAGCCTCTGCCCTCACACAGTCCGGCAGCCCGTGGAGGATGTCTGACTGATGGCTTGGGCCTGCAGTCGGACATCCTTAGCACTGCAATGGAGGCAAGACCAGCCACCAACACTGCGCTTGCCAGCCGTGAGCCCAGCTTCTGGCTGAGCGGTGCTCCTCCTGTGGGAGTGCACTGACCACCAGGGGGAAGCTCCTGCATTGAGCTTCTGCCCCCTGGTGGTCAGGGTGCATAATAGCGACTCTTCATTCTGCCGTTTGATTTGCATATTAGCCTTTTATTATATAGGATATAGATAGTACCTCTTCACACAAGTGCTCCCTGCAAACTCCTCCTTGTTCTCTATCAAGCACCACACATTTCTGATTTCAACGCCTTGGCTGGCTCTCTGCTTGGAATGTCCATCTCTTAAACTCTGTCTGTGAGACCTACCTATTGCTGCCAAGCTCAAGTCCATGTGAAGTACAACCTTCTCCAGCCTGTATGCGGATTCCAGGACTGCCCAGCTAGAGGCAGTCCTACCTTCCTGGGAATGGCAGGGCAATCATAACTTTCTATTTTGTGTTAATACTTTTTGAGAGAAGCTCACTCTCCTCTCTTGCACCACATATGTGGGAGCCAAGTCCATGTCTGAGGCCTTGCTGTATATTCTTCCATCACCAAGTCCAGGGCCTAGTACAGACAAGAACATGTGAAATACTTGGAGAACTGGAAAATGTGAATAATCTCAACCCTTAAGAGAAAGGTGCCCTGGGTGGGTCCTCTGATTAAGAAGCTGTAACTAGTTGCCTCTTGGCTGCCTGGGATTCAGTCACTCATTCAGCAAATATAACTAACACTGGCATTTGAACTCAACCCAGGAGAAGACAGGTAAATTAGACAAACCGCCATCTTCTGGAGCTCCAATGCCCATGGAGGAACAGACATGTATATAAGACACTTCAAGTGCAAGGTTAGCTATAGTAAGTACCTCTCTGCGGCAGTCTGGTGCTGGACAGAAAGGCAGACAGATGGCCAGACAACTTTCTTTGTCTGGAGGCTCAGGAATGTTCTGTGTTTGCCTCTTCTCTGATCTGCAGCATGTCTCCCTAGGGCAAGAGTGACTACATAATTTACAGGGCACGGGGAAAAATAAAAATGCAGGACCACTTGTTCAAAAATTATTAAGAATTTTGAAAGGGCAACAGCAAAGCATTAAACAAACCATGGGACCCTTCTATGTGCAGAGCTTGTGGAATTGCACAGGTCTCACACCCATGAAACTGGCCCTGTCACAGGGCTAGGAAGCATACACACAGGAGGTCTGAATGTGCCCTGCAGTCTTCTCTCTTGCACAGAGTCTAAACGGAGTCCAGATCACAGTGAACTTAGTGGCACTAGGATGCACAGCTGCACAAAGGACATACCAAATATTTGTTGAGTGCCTACTATGTGCCCAGAACTCATCTAAGTTTCAGAGATGTGGTGGAAAATCAGACAGACACAGTTGTTTTGTTTTGTTTTGTATTTGTCACTGAGCTTACTCCAGTAGGGGAAAGCCACCATAAACAAGCTCACAAAAAAGTGCCCAAGAAAATTATTAGTTAGTGCGTAGTGTTGTGAAGATGACAAGCAGAGTGATGGGATGGAGGTGAGAAATAGAAAGGGTGTATTAGACTAGTGTAATACAGCAAAGCCTCTCCAATGAGTCACCAGGTTAGCTGGGATGCACACAGCCCATTCTAGAGCAACAGGTAAGGATGCTGCTAGTGTTTGGCATCAGCTTGATGTCAAATCTCTGCAATCCTTTCCCCTCTGAAGTGAATCATGAGGATCTAGGCAAGAAAAATAAATCCAAGGATACTTAAGACTCTTGAGATGTCCCCCCTGAATGGGGACATTGACCCCCATCCCCAATGCCAGTGCCCTTTCACTTTTTCTGGCATCACCTAGAGCCAAGTCTCCAGAAAGATTTGACCAGCTGATCTTGCAGAGATTTCCAAGGTCCCTCCACTCCAGGTGGTCCATCTCACACCCAGGGCCCCAGGCTAAACCAGAAGCTAGTTGTGTCAGTGTCTCTGTGGAGTGTTGCAAAAGTCCTCCAGTGAATGCCTGAGCCTGGTCTTCTGTTTTAAAGGCCTCTCAGTCCCCCAAAGGCCTAGGAAACTGGTCATATAGTAGCTCATATCAGAGTTTGCTAGGGAAATTCCCAAGTCTCCTTCCCCGTGTCAAGGAAGGTGCTAAATAACCTAGTTGCCCTTTGGATGCCAGGAGATGTGCTCTGAAAGACTGGAAGGTGTGGAGTGAGGGTGTGGGAAATATCAGAAGCTAGGCTACTTTTGAAAACAATGGGGTGCAACAGGTGGTGGTGGGGAGCCAAGGACAAGAGGGCATAGTTCCAGCCTGCAGTGCGTCAATGGGCTGGAGGGGGTCATGGAAAAAGAAAAAGCCCACCCAGCCAACCCATGGTGCCCTTGCCCGGCCCAGTCTGCGGCTGTCTTCGCAGCCGCAGCCTCGGACCGCTGGTTTCTTTTGCCTGGGGCCAGCGTATTGCCAGCTCGCCAGCATCCTCCCTCTTCTGTCCCCCGCCCCTGGCTGTCTGGCTGCGCCGCAGTGGTGACGGCAGAGGGGAGCGGGGGCCCTAGGCGACAGGGCTCCCTCCCCCTCTCTCTCCTCCTCCCCCTGCGGCCCTCGCAGACCGCCCCCCTCCACTCCCTGCTGCCGCAGCGAACACGTCGTCGGAGATTTCCATCGGGGCCCAGGGGGCGGGGCCAAGGCGGGGCGAGTGGGAGGAGTGAAAGTTGGAGCCCAACAAAACCTTCCACACTGCGCTTGGTGCAGCAAGACCGTGCGCAGCGACCTCCGCACAGGTGGTCGCTCCGGTCTCTGGCAAGATGTTGACCAAAGTTCTCCTGATCCTTCTGGGCTTGCCCATAATCCTGCCGTCTAGGTGAGTCTCCATCCCGGAATCCAGGAGCCTTTCGCGCCCAGCTCCCTCTCCCTGGGAGCGAGGCCGGCTCTGGGGAGCCGCGCACACCTTGTCCCCAGCACTTGTGCAGCCATCCTCCCCACCGCTTCCTCCGGGACAGGAGCTCTGGGCCCCTGAAAGGGCGCGTCTGGGAACCAAGGCGGGATGCTTGTCCCCACGCCGCTCCTGTCGCTGGACTCCCCCTCTCCAAACCAGTGCGGCGGTTGAGAACCAGCATGCCCTCTCTCTCAGTCTTCCGTGGGAAGAGGCAAGCGCCCGTGGGGCGACCAGTTAGGGCAGGCTCTCGCTTCTTGGCAATGGAACTGGGAGGAGAGGGCGGGGGGGGGGGGGGGGGGGTGCGGG